AAATTATTTATAAAATATGGGTTATAAATTTATGTATGTTCATAAACAGAAAAAATCAAAAGATACGATCGCGTTGGCCGTTTGGGTGTTGAAAAATTTGTGGCATCAAAGAAGCACATCAGTAACTCTTTCATGGACAAACGATATCTACACTAGATTTTAATAGATTTTTTTCATGTAAGTCATTCAGTAAATGGTAAATAGATCAAGCCTGTTAGACCCAAAGGTTCAAAAGACAAAAAACACAATACAAACAACCAAACTTCAAACCAAAATAACCCCGTAGCTGGTGCCTAGAGCATTAGAACAAAAACTAATAACGTTACTCATAAAACAACCTAAATCATAAGTCTCAAGTTGCATTAAAGAATAAAAATTCTGAACAACAACCTTATGAACCACTCTAATTTCTATATATCTAGTACAAGTAACACACATATGCTCTTCATCCTCAACTTTTCTCTCATCACATAATCTACAAATACGTTCACTCATATCAATGTTCAACCAACGCACTTCCTCAATCCCAAGACTATGAAATATTGTTCTATGTTGAGCAGTAATATGACGTAAAGATGTAAAGATATTTGCAAGTAAGTATCCTTGCTCACAATAAACAAGCATATGATTCATATGAAGTTGATAAAACTCCATATAAGTGTCTCGTCTGCTCCAAACAATGCTAAGAAATTCCTCCTTAATAGGCTCGCGAAGGGCCATAGGTTGCAAATTTCAATCAAAATTTGTCACATTCCACCCCAATGACCAAGTCACCACATCTGCAAACCATCCCTTGGGATGTGTGGCACACAAAGTTTCAAGAGTAAGTCGAGAAGCATCAAAAGATCTCACTCTTTTGATGTAAGTGATAATCAAGAAGAGAGCTTATTCCTCAAGAGGTGAACAACCTGTTTCCGCAAGAAAAAAATTCTTCTTGCGGAACACAACTTGCGAAACATATGAAGTTTGATTACTCACACCATATTCTTCTTATAAGAAGATCTTTTGCACCCTCTGCACACGCTACCAACTTGTCTTCTTACAACAAGGACCCCACACTTGTGTTCCATATAAGATAACAAGAAACACTCAACTACTGGATAAAAATTTCCTAAGACTCCAAAACACTAGATAAACTACTCTACATCTATTTAGCAATGAATATAGAGCTTTGAAACTAGCTTCTACACTCTTTTGCACACAAAGTGCTCAACTATAATCATAGGAGAAATCAATGTTTAAATATTTGTAACTCCTCATTTGTTCCAACTCTAATCTTTTCTAAAAGAAAAAAAAAAAGTTTAAATCTAGTGTTCATAAGAATGACTTTTGACTTCTCCAAATTTATATCCATATGATTTTGAGTACAAAAGCTAATCAAAGTGTCAAGGTGTTTTTGTAAACTAATGGCATCAAGTGCTAGTGATATAACATCATATGCATACAAAATAGCTTTGATGACAAAGTCTTCAAGTTTGACAACTTCACTTTCACAATCGTCTAAGCACTTTTCTATATCATCTATGAAAACTTCAAAGAGAGTATGAGAGAAAATACAACCTTGAATGACTCTAATGGTACTCAAAATCTCTTCGCTTTGAGAAATGTTGATCTTGGCCCAAAAGGAGTGGTATAATGTCGCCACCGCTGCTAAGAGATCTGATGGTATTCCAATGGTTTGCAATCTTTTCCATAAAAGCTCACGAGGTATTATGTCAAAAGCTTTCTTGAAATTGATGAAGACACAAAACAAAGATCTTCCATTACCGTTGTATTTCTTCCATAAAACAGTCAAATCCAAGATATGGTATATAGTGTCAAATGTAGGACGAAAAACAACTTGAAACTGCGCTCTCTTCTAACAAAATTCAGCTCATGTGTTTAACTTTGACTCCACCAATTTTTCAAATAACTTGGCAAAAATACTACCCACCATGATAGTCCGATAGTTTGTCACCAAGTACTTGCTTCCAGATTTGTGAATAGGAATAATCTTCCGTAGAGACCAAGTTGAAGGAAACTCATAGATAGTAGCATTCTCTAATACTTTAGTGAGTATAGGTCCAATAGCATCTCTTTTCCATTTGAGAAGTTTAATCAAAAGACCATGCAAATTCTCACATTTATCATTTGCCAATTGTCTAAGTTGAGTCATGACTTCAACTTCATAAAATAAGCCAGGTTTTCCTTCACAATGTGGCATTGATGCAGCATTGGAAAAAAATTAAGTTTTTCAATAAAAGAAACCAAAGACTTTGGATCAAGAGTAGGTTTGAAAGATCGTAATGCCAACCGCTCCAAAAAAGATTTAGGATTCTCCAATAGTTTCTTTGTCAATCACTCTTGCTTCTGCCGCAAAAAAGCTCGATTCTTAGACTTCATCAAGTCTTTGTAAAGTCTTGTCATAATAAGCCGATTGTGAAGATCCAAGGATTTATCAACTGATCTTGTCCTTACCTACTTGCAATTAAGTCAAATCATCCATTGCAAGGAAGATTTCTAGCTCTCTTGTTCTTATGTCTCCAAAAAAAATTAGAAGCAAAATTTTTGAACAACTCGGTTAGTTGCAAATTAGATGTATATGGATTAAGTCTCCAAGTAGTAAGAAGTAAGATGTCTTGTAAATGTTGACTATAAAGTTGCTCCTACTATGATCTAAACAAAACTTGGAGGAAGTAGAAACATAGTGACATGTATATAGAAGAATTGACTTTGACAACAAAAGAGTAAATAAAAGAGTTGTATGATCTGATTGTGGTTGAGGCTCTAAAATATCAAATGTTAACATAAATGAACTATTAGTGGCAGATATTAAAAGATAATCAGTAGTGCTAACGCCGGTAGAGGAAAAACATGTATTGGAGGGAGAGTTGGGAAAGAAAAAAACACCATTGGGAACTTTCAAATGACATATGGCTCGAAAAGTCAAGAAATGCTTAGTCAAATCATTTGTACAATGATCACAAGAGATTCTAAACCATAAACAATCTCTACTTTCTTCAAAAGAGGGAAAAAACAAAAAAAAACATCAAATTGTGTAAATTGAGCAGAATGTATGCGAGCATTAATATCTCCAACAAGTTAAACTTCACATTTGTCACATATGTCATGCTCATAGAACATCTCTTATGAGCAGATGGAATGGTTGACTTTGATTGCAAGTGCTTGTGGTATAGATCTGCTTGGATAATGGTGCAAAGTAACAAACTGCCTAATAATTGTAAGATACTCCAATCAATCCAAGACAAAGTCAATGATATTGTTTCCTAATATCTTGACTTTACAAATGTATCATAGGAAAAAGTTTAGATATGATGAAAGTAGCAATGACTTCAAAAACTCTTCCTGCTTGTTGATTTCTATGGTTTCAAGTAGATCCCACCAAAGTAAACCCTCGTATCTCCATAATAGCATTGTTCCCTTGGTGCCAAGTCTCCACAATGTTGATGATGTCCGTCATCTTCCAAATTGGATGTGCATTTACATACTTTGTTGTAGATAGGTTTCTTGTATTTCACATCAACAACTTCAAACTCTTGGATTGCTAGATTGATGATTGTCTTCTACTCTGAGTAATAATAGCTTGATTATCACGTGGATAAGCGACAAATATTGTTGCTTGAGCTTCTTTGCCTTTTGCAAGCTCCTTACTCCTTACTTCAACCTGGAGAGGTGTAATATTTGTATCTAACCAAATATTCCGTACTTTGAGAATGAACTTGTTAGCTAGAGCAGTATCACATTGAATTTGATCCAGAAACTTAACAATAATGGCACGAGATTCTGTTCATTTATTTCTAATGCAAAAAGCTTGAACCAATCCGGATTATTGAACCAAATCCAGATAGAATTTAAACTTGTGTGTTTTATATGTAAATATGAATGATATCATTTATAGACACAATGAATAATAGGCTATGGTAACTTAAAAAAATTACTTCAGATTTTGAACTTGTCTCTATATACGCAGAATTATGGTAATATTTATTCAAGTCATACCAAAAGAAGCTTAAGTGATAGATGAAATGATGATATAAAAACATAGCATAATATGCTATATCATGCATGAATCATTTCAACTATCTAGAAAATGAAAATGTCTATATATTATTTGGTCACATGCTAAAAGACATAAACATTAAGTCTTTTTTATTTAAAAATTTGAGTCAATCCTATTCCTGGAATGACGGAGAATCTTGTAATCAAAGTCTCTATAAACAATCAACATATACAATAGTGAGACGGATTATTGTGTATGAGACGGATACACATGCCACATAGTACGTTAGTTTTTGCTCATAACAGTTCATATATGTAGTTCTATATCTTTTGTACTGTGAATGGCGTACTTGAATCATACGGATGTTTCCTGTATCTAACTCGAAGCATATATATGTGATGTATAGAACGAAAGTCAGATTAGGAATTCGACTGTGCATGGTCAAACTGATATACACAAGCTAGTGAGAAGTCGTGAAGCAGTAAAGCAGGCCATAGAGCATATTAAAACCAAGTCAAATATGTGAGCAACGAGTAAAGTGATGGTAAGTGATTGCAAATGCATGCTTGGAGTGCTGTTTAGTTAACATGGCTGTGGGAGCGAGAGTTGTAACAGTGAACCCTAATGGAAAAACACTGTTATAAGCTTGGTGCGCCGGGCTTCGGACTCCATTCCTCGATTTCTTTCCTCTTCTTTTCGAAGGCAGTAGCTGCAGTAAGGGTTGGAATGAAGCATGGCTTGAACGGCTTGGAGTGGAGCAGCTCATGTAGCACGGTTTGTAGAGCGGCTGATATGCCATAAACGGAATAAGAAATCCACGGGTCGAGATCGAGAGTATACTGAGGTTAACTGTCCATAGCATCTTGTCAACCGGTGACGTTTATTGTGGTGTTTTTATCTTGTGTTTGGCCTCAAATAGACTTCTTGTTGGAGGAGCTGTCCAGAGCAGCGCCCATCTAGTTTTCTCTTCTGGTATGAAGAAAAGGCACCGAGAGCCTTGTGCTGGAGTTTCATATGGTGGGATCCGCAGCTTGACGGGAAAATTTGGAAGATCCGATCTCTCTGTCAAGCTTGCGGATGTCACCGTAAGGACTCCGAGTAATCTTTAGTCTGGCGATTGCAGCAGAATCGAAGAAAAGATGTTCGTGAGAGGTGGATTGACACGCCTTGCTATCGTTTGCTTTGAATTTTGCCCAAGTTTGCAGTTCTGGTGAGTAGATGCCTGTCTACCTTAGCGTTTCCTCGTGAACGTGCCCATTCTCGCTAAAAGAATCTTATTATTTGCTTTGAAGTTGCAATAGCAGTCACTGCCGGAGTAAATTATGAAGTGGAATATAGGCATTGCTATCGGCGTCTAAGCGGCTAGATGTTCATCTCGCCAGAATGATTGTAGTGATTGTGAAATGTTGTCATGGCGATCGATCTTTTAAACCCTGCCGGTTAGAAACATGTCGTACATCTGCTGAGCTGGGATGTGCAGGAGACTTCCATATTAGCTTCCTCCCGGGCGCGTCGAAAGTTCGTCGAGATCACCACGTTGATAATGAAGATAACCCTTGCATCTGGCAAGCCTACTGTTGTCCGCAGGTTTCATGATATGACGGCACATTCATATTCGGTTCGTAAATACATTCCATGTGCAATCATCTAGTGACTATCAAATGTTTCTTAAACGTCTCCATTTTTGTGAGCTGTTAAGTAGAATAATGCAAAATATTACATCCGCTCCTATCAACTCGTCATAGTCTGACTATGAGGAGAACTAGAAGTGTCAAGGTGGAAATATTGACCACGAAAAAATCTTACATATTTCGTACAAGACCTTTGAGTCTTCTAAATGTCTGTTGAAATGGTTCTAGATAGAGCTGAAAATAAATAAATTTGACTACTCAGTTTACTGTAAAACTTCCTCCCTGAAAGAAGTGGGCAATTAAACTATTCAAACTCCACCATGCTCCACAATAATGGAAGCAGGATATGATTTAATCACGAAATATATCGTACGCGAGAATAGGGAGGAGAATGACGTAAGAACCAGCTGGACCAAAAACAGAGTCCGATAGGAAAGCAATTAGCAGCAGAATAAAGCACATTGCAAGAACAAGGTTCGTGTGTAATATACGCGGATCTAAGAAAATTAGGCTTGCAACCACGAGCATGGGGTTCACTTCACATCAAGGACCCTGAACTTCGACATATCCTCATTGACTTCCACCTTCGTTAAAGAGCATCGTAGGTGTAACCCTTCAAGGAGAACGGTGCCTGCCTCGTCTAATTCATGCAACCAAGATAGAAAAAGGTATTGGAAACACCTACTATTCTATAACAGACCCAATTTCATGAATCTGTATCTAGCTAGCTACTCAGTTCGAAATCATAACCTTGGCTCGAATAACATTTCAAAGACTAAAATGTTTCAGTTCCTTGATCTTATACTCTCTTTTGAAAACACAACCCTCCATCACTACACTTAGCAGGTAAACACAGTGTGTTAGAAAACTGGGCAACATCTCCTAGACAAGTCTTGCACCTCAGACATGCTGGTTTTGCAAGATACTGATCAGCTCGAAGACTTTCGATCGGCCGGCGATATTAGTTGAAGCACACAAGTACAAGTAATGTGGAGAATATCAGTCAGGGAGTGAGTTGCAGTGAAGAAAGACGTGAAAGGACATCGAAACAAGCAGCAAGGGCTTCGGCCAGATTATTGTAAAGCACGTGCATTGTATATTGGCTCAAGGTTGGAACGCTGTTCAATGATTCCTTCAGCCGTTGACTTCAGGCCCGAGGTTACTTGCTGCTGAAGTAGAGGTCCAACTTCAGTCTCGGGTCATGAACTGCTTCTCCAAGACGCGTACCTACCTATTATCACAGCGTTTGACCTGATGGACGAGCTTCGGATACTTGTCTACGGAAGTGAGTGGCATGGACGCGTTTACTTTGACTTTATACGCAGATGGAGGCAGGCTTCTGCTTCTATGCGGTGTGCCAAACCCAGCCGATCAGCGTTTCGAGGCTATTTCAGATGCATTCTGCTGAGCCGGAAACCCTTACCAACTGCGCTGACCGACCATCCATCGATACAGGTTGTCTAGCAAATGTTGTTCAGTCAATCATGTGCAAGAGAGTGAGACCAGAATAGATGGCACGGATCTCATTCATCCCTGCGGATTTTTACATATTTCTCCGCGGTTCTTGATTCTTTCTGACCTCAACCTTTGACAAAAACGCAAGTCGTCCATCGACTGCGCAATTTATCAAGATAAACTTGCCAACCCAATCAATTTAGCAGCGATGAAACGCGATTCAAGCTTATTCTCGACACCTGAGAGCCTATCCGACGTCAGGACTAAAGCGGTAAGATCATATTGGGCTTATTTGAGACCGACATGATTCACATACACAATTCAGCGCTGGTAGCTGGGATCAAGAATATCGAACGCGACATGCCAATCATAATTCACGTCCTGGTCACACGGATGACGCCCAAAGTTATCTTGGTCAATGGGCATGGCACCGAACTTGAACAACTTTGCCGCATGCATGGTTCAAACTCTTGTCAGTTCAGAGTAAACGTTTCACGGAAAAGAACGATGGTACAGCGACTTTCACCAGCCCACAACGAACCAACGTTCCGGTCTCACAACCGAACTCTTGCCCAGCCCTTCTCTCACTAGACGCACGACTTTTTCCCTAAGCACGAAAACGAAGTCCTATTCACCATTGTCTCTATCTCATGCTCAACTGCCAACTGCATGTGAAATGATTGAGTTTGTCGATGAACAGTTTCACACAAAAACCAGCTATCGAATACGGGGATGAGAGTTTAAATTTTTTTGGTATTAAATCATAAATATCGAATTCATTCATTTCAACTCAACTATTATTTCTGGTGGATTTTTGAACTGATTGGTTATGACATACTTTTTGCAATCAAACCTTATGAAAAAAGGATACATATTTCTGAAATATAAATAATAATTTTGATATGAGTATAATGTGATATGATATGATTTTCTAAAATAATTTAAAAAAATCCTTTAAAGAGTAATAATTCTGAAATCGTCTCACAAATCCATGTCAACATCAGGATAAGAAAGTATGTAAAAAAATTGTTATCAATTTTTTTAAAACAAAAAAATTGGTCACGGATAATCAAATTTTTATTTTTAAAAAAATATCAATTCTGGCCAAAGAGTTTCGGCATGTTTAGTTTGTATTGTTTGAGCAATAAGAAATATTTTTGTTAGAGATAAATTATTGCCTGCCTTCAATGATCTTACCTTTAAGAACATTTTCAAACCTTTAAATATTAGAAGGTGTTTCTAACGTATGAAATAAAATTACGAGGTTGAGATCGAAACACCATGGATAACTCCTGCTACTGAAAATGAAATCACCATGTGAGTGTGACCTTCTAACGTTGTACATTCTGTTAATAGAAATCACATTAGGTCATGCGTCATCAAATATTCACATTTCTTGCAGATGATATGATCTAAATAGTTCAAATCAAGTTTTCTATTATATATTTTTCGTCAGTAAACCACTGGAAGTTAGACCTGTATATTTAGTTAGCTTTGTTCTTTGTACAGCTTGACGAGAACATTTTTTTGATATCCACTTGGCCCCCTTTTTGTGAAGGAGGCAAGATAAACTTAAGAACAACGTATGACTTTGAGACCGCTGGAGATGATTGAATTGCTAGTCATTTTGGTTGTTCAGAAACTAGTTGTCTAAAAGATATCGAAGGTGCTCAGAATAGAACTAGGAACTTTAGAAGCAGAATCTAAAATCTACCAAGGACTCAGGAATCGAAAATACACTCTGAATCTTAATTACGTATGCAAAGTTGGTGAATTTCAGAATGTCAAGGTAGAAAAAATAGATGCCATAAAGAACTGAGAGGCGGAACGGTGTTGGGCCATGAAGGCCATAGAAACTTGGAGGCGGACCCGAAGGAACACAAGGGCACCAACCTAGCGGTAGAGCTGACCATCGTCTGGAGATCTAGAGCCAGGGCCAAACTTCCAAAGATACTGTGATTCAGAAGCTCAGGACCTCCGGAACCACATGATGCGAAGTCAACACTCGTCTTTAGCACGACTGTATTAAGTTAGGGTTAGACACAACGAGGGTGGACTCGGGAATTGCTGGGATGGCCTATTGATAGGGCTAGACTGGATCGGTGACTGGCCTAACCAGTCCTGTAAGTAGAAGAAGTACGCAGATTATTACATTGCAGTACAGGAGTCTGCCTGCCACTCGCTCGGTCGGTCAGCCCGTCCGTCCGTCCGTCCGCCCGCCTGACTCCTCCCTTGGACTTCTTCTTCTTCAGCGCCGTCGCCGGATCCAGTCAAAGTGTTGGGTTCACCAACACTCGAAGGCCGCATCGCCTTCTCTTTGACGTTCCTGCGCTCCGGTCTCATGCGGCGGTAGATTCCTCGCCATGCGACCGCAAGCCCACGACGACTCCACGACGGCGACGGACGTGAAATCTGGACGCGACGGTCGGACATCTACTCGGACAGTGCTTCTAGACACAAGAACATAACTGCTTCCATGGCCCGACACGTGTAGAACGCCAACCAATCAGTACGAGCATCATTTTCCGCCGCGTACGTCACAGCAAGAAACGACCTTATTGGTTCAGGATGCTCATGACAAGGAGATTAATGTTATCTATGCGGCGAAAGATGTAGTAGGTATTGGGAACTCATCCGTAATCTTCGCCCATCTCGGATTCTCGGCACCATGCCCATGGTTATCTTCGGGGCCCCGTTGAGGTCCATGATTACGTTCCTACGAGATGGCCCGGCTTATCAATCTGACGTCTGACTGCTGAACTGACTGCCAGAGACCTCCAGATTGTGTTGGTCCAGTCGTCATTTCATTTCGCGACGATTAATGAATGTCAGTTTGGTTGTGGCCAGATATACGCAGCCAAAGTATAGTTTCGAAGGGAAATTGGGCACCGGCTTTTGGCAGCATGTCTTCGAGGGCTGTGGATAGGGAACGGACTAGAGTGTTTAGTGCTCGCGTACTTCCATCATTCTGCATTGAAGTTCTTTTATGCGATGTTTTACAAGTCAACTCCCACA